CCCATAATAAATTTATGAAAGAACCAAATTTTATGACTGTTTTTTGTGACAAACATGTCTGTGTTCCGATCACTCTATCACAGAAAAATAAGAGTTGTAGAACTTATTGAAAACTCAAGACAGCCATAACATTATGTTTCTTTACAAGTGTATGTAAACTTTTGACCACAACTGTATGTATCCTCTCTGGCCCGGGAATGCCTTAGGGTCATTCCCAGCATGGCAAAAGGATGGATTTCTCTCCTGTATCTGTTTGCTCAATGACCTGACTGATGAGTGGTAGAAGATGGAAATAGAGATATGAATTTAGCTACAAAGTAACAAGAGATTACACAAGAAACACGATTCATTGCAATCATTCTGATTACTATTTGTGTGCATCAAAAAACATTTTTCACTTTCACTCGACTTCCCTTATTTTCTGCTTAGTGCATCTTCCGCACAGCCTCAGTTGGTGTCAGAGACATTAGACTCCTTCAGAATCCTCTTTCTTACTCAGTGAAACACATACTGTAACAGTATGTAAAACCTGGACATACAGAAACACTTTATTTCACTGACATGTTTGGTGAAGCCCCACGGGCTCGTTAATAAGAGTCTCTCGTGTAAATGTGTAAATTAAATGGCAACTGGTGCCAAATGGAGATGAACGCTTGAAAAGCGTCAAAATGTCTGTAAATAAGGATTAGCTCATAAAGTACAGGACAATTTGGAAAAGGAAGAAAAAGAGACAGACTGAGAAGAATCTGGGATTCAAAGGGAGTTTGTCTTTTGTAATTTGGAGACAATAGGTGAGAAATGGTAGTTATGAAAAATGAACAAAGTGAGAGGATAAACAGAAAACAAGATAAGAAATAATGCTGTAATATACTTTACAGTCAAAGAAGGGAATTCAGTGCTGATCCAACAACTCTGTCATCCAGAACACYATGTGTTCATGACACTTATCGCACAATTTTGTATGTCATTCTATTGTTTTTGTTGTTTTCTTTTAGATATTTGAAAGAGAAGTAAAAATAGTCAAGGTCCTTAAGAGAAGAAGGTTTTCTGYAGAGACTCTGTGACAGTGCTGCTTGAGTTCCCTTTTCAAAGTTTCACAATAAATCTTCCAATTGACTCTGCTGCTGCTTCAGAAATTACCTTCAAACGTGTTGATTTAAGCAGTCAAAACGGAGCAAGGACTRAGAACCGGTGCAAGAAAGAGTCCTGAAAACAAGCTGACAGCCTTTCATTTGGTCTGAGAGGATAAGTAGGCAACATGCAACATCTACAGGCCTTCAGATCAGTTGCAACCCTTTCCTTCCCACTTTCTCTGTCCCCATGTTGCATTGTACACAGACTGGCGCTCTGTATGGCATGTGGCGAAGAAAATGACTCAGACTGCCCACCAGCTGTGAGCCCGGCTTGTCAGTGAGGAGGAGTAAACATATATCATGCAGGGCTGGCAACAGAGAACTTACAGGCAGGCGCATTATGATGGAGGGTAACATGGAGCTGTAGGAACAAAGCTGAGGCATCGTCTACATGGAACCATTAAAGACCTGAAAACTAACTTCAAATAAACAAAGTGTGATTATTCATATCTGGCAATTAAAATGGAGTTCAAAATGACTCAGTGCAGAATTAATGTTGTCAAGAAGTTATGAAACATGTAGACCGTCCTGTTGAAACAAACAAAAAAGCGATGAAGCTTTCAGTAAAACTGGGAAACAAATATGAAACAGTTTACCAGATTTTAATTACAGCATCGGGCAAAGATTTTTTCAAAGATTCATTTCATTACTGCCAAAAGGCAAAGGTGAATTTAATGTTTTTACTTGTTCTGTTATAAATATCTCATAAATGGCTACAGAATTTTTAATGAAGATTCCAAAAATCAGAAGATGTACCTGTAAACCTGATTAACCTTTAGAGCCAACCCATTTTAAAATGCCCACCACAGCCAACTGACAACACAAGAATGGATACAATTCAGTCCATTTTAAAGATACTGAGATAAAATTTGGTGTGGTAGTAGCTGAGAGTCATTCATGACACGATGAGTGTGACACCTTGTGAGTTTGCATGTTATGATATTAAGGTTACTTATTTTCAAGGTTTGATCCGAATGGCCACAGCTGTGGTGAAGGTGGTGAGTGATATGCATTATTTCAATGAATGCATTGCGTATAACACACACACACAAACACACACACACACAAACACACACACACACAC